AAATTTGTTTTTGTAAAAACGTTTTTCATTGCCAATCACAGAATTTGTATTCATTTGCGGTTTTTGAAAAAAAAAAGTGATTGCAATTCTCAAAGCATATTATTATATGTTGATCCACACTTTTCTATTACAATACTAATACCCAGCAGTCCAAACTAAATATGCAATGGATAAAGCAAAACTGCTGATTTTTATTTGATTAATTACTAACTTTTTATTAGTAAATATATATATATATATATTACCATTCAAAATTTATTATTTATTATTTTAAAAATATTATAATCAGATAATTAAAGTTTAAAAAATTTTCATGATATATTGCATTTATAATTGTTATCATTTAAACTTTATCACATACAGTTTTTTTACATTAACTGCACTCGTTATGTAACACACATTCCGCAGTTTAACTGCACTGTATTTTAAAATCCATTTTTTTATTCTGCAAAATAAAATTACCATTTAAAGTTTATTATTATCTTTGAAGTAACAAGTTTTGGACTTTTATTAAAGTTAACTTTGGATATTTGTCTCAAATTGTCGTTGTTCATCATTAATTCTTCATGCCTTCATATTTGTTAACGTGTGAAACTAAATCTCTTACATTTTGAGGTTTTGTTTTTTGTTATAATACTACTTCAATTTAAAAACAGGACAGAAATTTTACTCCAAAAGAGCATTTTACAAATATTTTCGTAATTTGGAGGCTCAGACTCAGGTATTTTAAAACATTGGCCAAAATATTCTTTTATTAACCATCCATTTATATAATCATGAATTTTTTTACTAAACATGAAAGCCTAATGGTTCTTTGAAGAGAGAAAGAGCCGAGGAAGAAAAAGATCATGTGTGTTCAAGGTGCAAAGAAACTGGACATAACTGCCTTACTTGTCCTTACCCAATCATCTATAAGATTGTACGTAATCAATGTCTTTCTTTCTCTATTAATTTTCTTCACACGCTGATAAAAAATTCTACCTAATATCATACATTTCATATAATTAAAAAAAAATTGATATAATTTGATGCATAGAATTTGCAGGACCATCTTGGAGCAAGGACGATACGTAGGTGCAGTCGATGTCACTCGATCTGCCATAACGTCCGTACGTGTGTTCAAGATGTAGTTGCTCCATAACACCAATTGGAAAAACTATTTTTCTATCTATCTTGTTTTTGCAACCAAACTATTTACTGAATACAATAGTGGTTGCAAGTTAATTATTTATTTTGAAAATAAATATTGGAATGTCGGGTTTGAACTATCTATATTCTGGTTTAATTAATATTTTCATTATTATTAGTCAAAAATATTCTCTCTTAAGAGAAGTATAGGTGTTGCCCTTCTAAGAAAACAATCAACAGTTGGGTTGTTGGCATTTACTGTCACAAGGTAAACTTATTTAAAGCCACTAAATTGACATGATGAAGTAGTTGCTCAGTTGAGTGACAAAAAAAAAAAAAAAAAAAAGTAGTTGCTCAGTTATGTGAAAATATATTAATATCTAAGCAAGATTATCCAATGAATAGATTTAATTTGATGTTCAATGACGGTTTGTTGGCTTATGTCAACGATTATGACATGCCATTTTGATGTGAGTCAGGACTTGTATTAATGATATTACTCATGCATGTAAGAAGATTATCTGTTGTAACTCAAAAATACCATAAATTTATTGTTTGCAAGGTTTGCACTGTCAACTCTAAATATCTCGAAATTGGTTTGACAAAACTAGAACAGCAGAATAGCTTCAGGAGCAGCCCTTCACTAAAGGTGCATACTACTTAAGAAACACCAAATGGAATTTGCTGAGTTAAAGGTTGATTTATACGTAGTGGAGAGGACTCTGAAAAGATCAAAGAAGCACTTCTAAAACTCGACATAATGGTTAATATTTACCAGGCTGGCTCACTATTTCACAAGTAAGTCTCTAGTTGAGCAAACTCAATTGTGCATCACTATTTCACAATTTTCTAGTTAGCAAATTCAATTGTGCATCATGCTAGTTAATCTACATTTACTAGAATTTGATGATGAATATATGGTGGGATTGGTTTTACAAGAACAAATGACAGTAAGACATGTGGGCATCGAAACACTCTAAACACTGACATAACCTGCTAGTTTGGCCAACGAATCCCTAGCGTACTATTCCTGAACAGCCACCAATCCACATGCTCATCGAACGGATGAGATAGGACGGAGAGGATTTGTACAAAAGAAGGGCAATAGAAGAAGAGAGGTGCGAGGGAGGGGGAGAGGAAAGAGAGAGAAAGAGAGCCATAGGCCAAAGGCCTGAACCAAAAAAAAAAGAGAAAGAAAGATATAGAAATCAAAAGAGAGACATCCATAGAGTTCGGTCTAAGGACAAAGAACCCAATCCCATCTGAGAGAAGAGAAGCACAGCCATATAACGCAGTTTTAAGGGAACGGCTCGCTTCCCAGAGACAGCCCCAACCAGGATAAGTGTAACACCCCCGACCGCTCCTACCGACGAGTCACCCATCCTTCCATCGGGCTCGTGGGCCCCGCCTTTGTCCGACGGCCGGTGCGTTATTTTTCTCGGAGCCCAACCGGCTTATTTACTGATCCTGCAATCACCACATGATCTTTTCCCGTGTTTTGGTCTCATTTACACGCTTTCGGGAATCACTTCCCGAAAGGTCACCCATCCTAGTCCTGCTCCAGCTCAAGCACGCTTAACTCTGGAATTCTCTCAGGCCCACTAACCGAAAAGATAAGTGCACTTTTGTGACATATGTAGCCAAATCAATTTATTTAAACTTAATCAAATAAGCCGGGTTCGGGTCGTTACAATAAATCCCTCTCTAGCCTGGAATCATGCCTTTATAAGCGTTACTTCTCCTTTCCCTTGTAGAATCCCTTCAATACACCTTTAGATAGAAAGATGCCTCAATCTCTAGACGAGTCATCTAACTTTAATCCATAGAATCACCTTCCCGAGTACTTGTTTCCGGTAAAATATTCATTGATTTGGGTGTCAGAGAACCTTCTGGAGGGAAACCCCCATTCAATCTTCCTGAAAGCCCGGCTGAAACTTTTGTGTAGTGTCCATAGGACTCGAACAGACTTCTGCCCTAGAACGGCCATCGTCTTTCTCCCCAAAAAACGAAATATGGACTCTAGCACCCATACGAATGATACACCTCCACGTAACATCTTGTAAAATGCTTTCGAACAATATAGAAACTCAACGATTTGCAGTAAAACAAATGTTAGCTAAATTTATCTTTTCTTATAAAGATGTTTTCAACAATTTTAAAAATCAATAAATGAAAAGTTTAAAACTTTGTTGATGGCTTTTTTATTGTTGAAAAAAACAATTTAGATTTTTTTAAAAAAATAAGCTTTAGAATTTATATATATAAATTTGGAAACAAAATGTGAAAAGAAAAGTTAGTGTTTGAAAAAGAAAACACGTGTTTGTTTTTAAAAAGAGAATCTCTTGTTTTGGTTTGTTTTGTTTGTTAATGGTTATTTGATATGTATAAATATATTTGGGAAGCCATTACAAGCCATCGACAACAGTAGTCTCTTTTTTATTTAATCCTGAAGGTATAGTTTCCTTTTTTCTACACATATGCCATTAAAATTCTTTATTAGAAACTCTCGTATGATTTTTTAGATAGATTTTTTCTCTTTTCTCTTTAAAATTTTTTTTTTCTATAGTTTAAAGTAAATATGTAGCTGTGAGATTAACTTCTCCTTTGAACTTCCAATTATACTTAGTACGAGATGAATAAAAGAGAACGAAAGAAAATACAGAGAACTAAGAACAAAGACACAAGATTTGGTAATTCAGAATTCGTCCCCGTGAGGATGACTATATATGGGGCCGAAAACGTTCTGGTAAGCAATTTACTAGCTCCGGCTAAACTCGACGTGCAATCTAACAATCTCTGTCTCTTAATACAATAACCTTTTCATCTATCTAATGATGTAGAAGTTTACTCTACTTCAAATCCTACATATACTCATTTATCATTGTAGTATGTAGGTGTCAATCCAAATGAGCAAAATAAGCAATCAGGAATGCAATAGACTATTTAATTTAAGCAAGCAGCAATTAGATAAAGTGAACTATGATTCTAATAATAGCTAGAGAGACTTCAAATGAACTAAAACAAGCAAAGCAAGACCCAAAAATTAAAGCAAGTTCGAATTCAAACAATTAAAGATTAGTAGGCTTAAGATAGGGTAATTGATCTAAGGAGAATTTCAGCTTATCTAATGATGCTTACAAAACCCAAAATAAGTTATTCCTAAGCATATAATTAACAGCTATAACTAACTCAATTCCTTGATACTAATCATTTTGCTAAGCATATAATCAGATAACTTTCTTTACTGAAATAGATGATCAACAAGCATTAATAGCAACTAATCAATCTATATTGCCAATATACACGTGTTTAAGAAAGAATCTAGATAAGATTTAGTAGCTTCTATTTGTAAGAGTTGTAGATGTAATCATGACTGAGCACTCTTCACTGCCCAACAAGTTCTTCTGCTCGTTACGTTACGTTCAGTCATTTCAAAACCTTACTTCTTTCACTTTTCAGCTACAAATACGTCACCACAAATGCTACACATATATGATTGACTGATTGAATTATAGACGAAACCACCATTTTGTACTGTCTATTTGCAACGTAACAAAATTACTGTGAACTAGTATAAGCTAAATGAAACCACTGTTGTGTTACTGTCTGCAACTACAATGCTTAAAAAATAAAAAATAAAATTTCTTTTTTTTTTTGATAATCCATAACGATTTTGTTTGACAATAAAAATAACCTTAATTTGCAAAATCTATATAGCTAATTATATTTATCGTTATGGCTGTAATTATTTGTTCACATATCAGTTTAGAGGGACCCTGTAGACATAAATATTATTTCGTCTCGTAGTTGTACTTCTTTCAGCTACTCATACACAAACCTCTCTAATATTATCTTTGCATTTCTCCAAGAAGAATCTCACTAAACTCTTTTACCCTCTCTTCTCTGCCTCCATCTCTTCCATTCTTCCTTTGTGTCGTCAAAAAGAAAATGAGAAGTAGTAAGAAGCCTGTTGCCTCTAAAACCTCTTCTTCTCTTGCGATCGTCGAAACAAATCTCCATGTCAACAAAGTTGTTCCCATCGAAGCACCCATTGTATCTTCCTACAATGACAGGATCAGGCCGTTGCTTGACACCGTGGACAAGCTGAGGAACTTAAATGTGATGAGAGAAGGGATCCAGCTTCCCACCATTGTTGTGGTTGGAGACCAGTCCTCGGGGAAGTCGAGTGTTCTTGAGTCCCTGGCAGGAATCAGTTTGCCTCGTGGGCAAGGAATCTGCACTAGGGTTCCTCTTGTGATGAGGCTTCAGCGAAGTTCTACACCTGAACCTGAGATCTGGCTTGAATTTGGTGATAAAGTTGTTCCTACGGATGAGGAACACATAGCTGAATCTATTTGTGCTGCAACTGATGAAATTGCTGGTATGTTATGCCTCTCTCCCTTCCATTCCGTTAAATATGTTCTTGTTTAAACCTGCAAGATAGATCTTGAAAATGAAACTTATCTGATATATGCACATTCAAAACGAGCTAGCTACATATATAGAACTCCCTGAAACTATATGTGCACATACATATAATTGAATACTAATGCACTCCTAGTGGATCTTTAGTGATATGATTTTCTGCATGCTGTTTCACTAGTTTTGCTATCTGATGAAACTTCGTAGTATCAGACTTTTAACATAAGTCTCGATTGTGATAAGTAATTGTGAATATTCATATTGCAGGATCTGGCAAAGGAGTTTCAGACACTCCCTTAACCCTCCATGTAAAGAAGGCAGATGTTCCTGATCTTACAATGGTTGATCTCCCAGGAATAACCAGAGTTCCGGTGAATGGACAGCCAGAAGACATTTACGAACAGATCTCCGGGATGATCATGAAGTACATCGAGCCGCAAGAATCCATCATACTCAATGTTCTGTCAGCTACAGTCGACTTCACAACCTGCGAATCCATTCGCATGTCTAGACAAGTTGACAAAACAGGGGAAAGGACTCTGGCCGTTGTCACAAAGGCCGACATGGCTCCTGAAGGTCTCCTGCAGAAAGTAACTGCAGACGATGTGAGTATCGGGCTCGGTTATGTCTGCGTGAGAAACCGCATCGGAGAAGAGACCTACGAAGAAGCTAGGATGCAAGAAGAGTTACTTTTCAGCACCCATCCGATGCTTTCAATGATAGACGACGGTATTGTGGGCATCCCCGTCTTAGCTCACAAGCTGATGCAGATCCAGGGAATGATGATATCCAGGTGTTTGCCTGAAATCGAAAGGAAGATCAACGAGAAGATGGAGAACAGTGTTCTTGAGTTGAATAAGCTTCCAGTAGTAATGGTATCTTCTGGAGAAGCATTGATGGCTTTGATGGATATCATTGGCTCTGCAAAGGAGTCTCTCTTGAGGATTCTTGTGCAAGGAGATTTCTCGGAATACCCAGATGATCAGACCATGCATTGTACTGCTCGCTTGGCTGAAATGTTAAGCCAGTTCTCAGAGACTCTCCAAGCAAAGCCTGAGGAAGCTACCGAGTTCTTGATGGATGAAATCAAGATCCTAGATGAATGCAAATGTGTTGGTCTACCCAATTTCATCCCGAGATCCGCCTTCTTAGCTATCCTCTCTCAACATGTTGATGGAATCCATACGAAGCCTGTTAAGTTCATCACAGAGATTTGGGATTACGTTGAAGTTGTGCTCTCGTCTGTTCTTACCAAGTACACTGAGAACTTACCCCAAATCCAATCCTCCATCAAAAGAGCTGGTCGAAACCTAATCTCCAAAACTAAGGAGCAAGCCGTAAACAGAGTGACTGAGATCGTTGAGATGGAGAAGCTGACTGATTACACATGTAACCCTGATTACATGACACTGTGGACTCAGAAGACAGAGTTACAGCAAAGCTTCATCAACGCTGTGCTGTACGACGAGGAGAAACATGAGAACTACTCTTTGGCTGGATTCGGAGATGTGAAGATTTCGCATCTAAGGAAATATCACGCCCATTTGCTGCAGCAGGCGTTTGATATGAAGATGAAGATCACATCGTACTGGACGATTGTCCTGCGGAGGATTGTGGACAACCTTGCTCTGTATCTTCAATTCTCGGTGAAGAATCTCGTCAACTGTTGGTTTCAGAAGGAGATCGTGGCGGAGATGGTGGATACCAGAGGCGGTGGAGGGATTGAGAGGATGCTGGCGGAGTCTCCGTCGATGGCGAGCAAGAGGGAGAAGCTGAAGAACAGTATCAAGCTATTGAAGGAGTCCAAGGACGTCGTCGCCGCCATTGTTGATCAGAACTCTGGGTGTGGTGATCGTTGATTTCAAAATTCCTCGGGTCGGGTTTTAGGGTTTTTTGATGGGCTTTTTTAGAAGTTGGGCCTTTTGTGTGTGTTTTGGACTTGGCTCACTTTTTGTGTTAGGTTTTTAATCCTTTTTGTGTGGTAACGCTAAGTCACATTATGTATTTATGTGGTTTGTTGCCCGTTTGGAATGAAGAATTCGAAGTTTTTACTTTCATAAATGTTAAGTTGGAAGAGAAAATTACTGCTGCAGTTAATTTGGTGTAACTTAAAAGATTTCAATAATGGTTTTGCCGATACTATTATGTGAGCTAACATAGTAACCCGGAAAAGAAAAAAAGAGGCAGAACAAGTACATGATTACTTCAGTTATCCATGGCTTATCCCAAGAAAACCGGAAGAGTGTAATGGGTCTGGAGCTGACCAAAAACTAAGTCTAGAATCTTCTAGAAGATGAGGAATCCATAATCATCAGACTTGTCATGTAGTATTGTCTACTTTTGAAACTCCCCACATGACCACAACTATACACAAATATGACTATATATGCCGATAAGCATGGATCATTTATGTGCTAGTCTTTTGAACTTTCCAAGGAGTTGTGTAGAGAGTGAGAGATTGCGTTATCTTCTCATATTCACCATTTTTGTCATCACCTTTTCATTTTAATTTAGAATCAGTTTACATTTATCTCTTGTACTAAAAACCATGCTCATGACTTTCAAACTTCTACTTCTTAAAACACCAAACGTCAACGTAAGCCTCTATTTCTCTCCATATGACTATATATATGTATGTATATGTGTGACTTATCACCTCCAACAAGAATCTCACTCACCAAAAAAAAATATTTTCTCTGTCTCAATCTGTTTCCTATTTTCTGTCTTTTTTATCGAAAGCAAAAATGGGAGGTAGTAAGAGACCTGAAATTTGTGAAACTAACGTCGAGGCCGGGATGTCTTCTCTTGCGATTGTCAGCACTAATCCCCAAGAGGATGTTGTTCCCATTGAAGCACCGATCGTGTCTTCTTACAATGATCGGATCAGGCCGTTGCTTGACACTGTCGACAAGCTGAGGAACTTGAACGTGATGAAAGAAGGGATCCAGCTTCCCACCATTGTCGTTGTTGGAGACCAGTCCTCCGGAAAGTCGAGTGTTCTTGAGTCTTTAGCAGGAATCAGTTTGCCTCGTGGGCAAGGAATCTGCACTAGGGTTCCTCTTGTGATGAGACTCCAGAGAAGTCAAAAGCCCTGAACCTAAGATCTGGCTTGAGTACGGTGGCAAAAATGTTGATACTGACGAGGCGCACATAGCTGAAGCTATTAGCGCAGCAACTGATGATATTGCTGGTAAATTCTCACTCTCTCTTTATCACAGTGCTAAGTATGTTATATGATGTAAAACCTGATAGACAGATTCTTAGAATGAGTAATCTGATATTCATACTGCAACACTGAGTGTAGCTTTGCGGTTAACAAATGGAGCGTTGTGAATTCAGTGAATTGCGAACATGTTGAGTAATTTGTATGTACCTCTGTGTTGCAGGATCTGGTAAAGGTGTCTCAGACGCTCCCCTGACGCTCCACGTGCAGAAAGCTGGTGTTCCTGATCTGACCATGGTCGATCTCCCTGGGATAACTCTAGTTCCTGTGAATGGGCAGCCTGAAAACATCTATGAACAGATCTCTGCGATGATTATGAAGTACATCAAGCCACAAGAGTCCATCATTCTAAACGTTCTGTCAGCTACAGTCGACTTCACGACCTGCGAGTCCATTCGTATGTCTAGACAAGTTGACAAAACCGGTGAACGTACTCTAGCCGTTGTCACAAAGGCTGACATGGCTCCTGAAGGTCTCCTGCAGAAAGTAACAGCAGATGACGTGAGTATTGGACTTGGTTACGTCTGCGTGAGAAACCGTATCGGAGAAGAGACCTACGAAGAAGCAAGGATGCAAGAGGAGTTGCTTTTCAGGACTCATCCGATGTTATGCTTGATCGATGATGACATTGTGGGAATCCCTGTCTTAGCTCAGAAGCTAATGCTTATCCAAGCAACCATGATCTCCCGCTGTTTGCCTGAGATTGTCCGCAAAATCAATCTGAAGATGGAAACCGCTGTGTTAGAGTTGAACAAGCTTCCGCTGGTAATGGCTTCTACAGGGGAAGCACTCATGGCGTTGATGGACATCATTGGCTCTGCAAAAGAATCTCTTCTAAGAATCCTTGTCCAAGGAGACTTCTCTGAGTTCCCAGATGATCAGAACATGCACTGCACTGCTCGCTTGGCTGATATGTTAAGCCGATTCTCAGATGATCTACAAGAAGATCCCCATGATGGTGGCGAGTTCTTGATGGATGAGATCAAGGTATTGGAGGAATGCAAATGTGTAGGGCTGCCTAATTTTATCCCGAGATCTGCATTCTTGGCTATTCTTTCAAAACATGTTGACGAGATACAAGCCAAACCAGTTGAGTTCATCCAGAAGATTTGGGACTACATCGAAGTTGTTCTTTCTTCTGTCATCACCAAGTACTCTGACAACTTCCCACAGATCCAACCTTCCATCAAACGAGCCGGCCGTAATCTGATATCGAAGATCAAGGAACAATCTGCGAATCGAGTGACTGAGATCGTTGAGATGGAGAAGTTAACGGATTACACTTGCAACCCTGAGTACATGACGTCTTGGACGGAGAAGACAAATGAACAAGCGAGCTTCATCGTTGCTGTTTTGGACGATTGTGCTTCTGACCCTGAAGAGTTCCCTTTGACTGTATTTGGGGATGTTGAGATTGCGCATCTGAGAGTATAACGCTCATTTGCTGCAGCAGGCGTTCGACATGAAGATGAGGATCACATCCTACTGGACCATCGTCCTGAGAAGGATTGTAGATAACCTTGCGCTGTATCTTCAATTCTCTGTGAAGAACCTCGTTAACAGCCGGTTTCAGAAGGAGATCGTCGCGGAAATGGTGGATCCCAGAGGCGGCGGAGGAATTGAGAGGATGTTGGAGGAGTCGCCGTCGGTGGCGAGCAAGAGGGAGAAGCTTGATAACAGTATTAAGCTTTTGAAGGAGTCGAAGGACGCTGTTGCCGCCATTGTTGATCAGAATTCTGGGTATGGAGATCGTTGATTGATTGATTTTGCTTCGTCTTGTGGCTTTGGTGATGTCGTGTCGGCACGAGTCGGGTCAGGTTCTCCGGTGGATTTTTATTGGAGATGGGCTTGTGCCTTTTGTTTTTTTTTTTTGAATTTCGGATTTTATCGGCTATCAGCTATCTTATGTTTTTTCTGTTTTGTGTGGTTTTTCTCGTGGTGACATTAAGATATTGGCTTCACGTTCACGTTATGTGTTACTTGTGGAATTATAAATTCTGGGTTTTAGAATTTTAGTTTCATGAAAAATTAAGACACTGAATGAGTTAATTCAGTGTAACTGAACTCTCATGTACCATAAAATAAAATCCTTCAACATTAGTTAAAAATCATGTTTCTTTCTTTCCTTCAAAACTAAGGCAGGAGAGGATTTTACTGCAACAGTTAATTTGGTCCAACTCAGAAGACTAAATAAAACTCCACTAGTTTTGGCCTTTAAATACGAGTTGGGCCTTTGTGTGCTATTGCTTCTTCTCTGTTATGTTCTAAATCTTTCTGTGTGGGATTTGTTGCCGTTTGATGGAGGATTGAATCTGTGGGAAGTTATCAGAGTGTTTCGTAAGAACAGAGGAGATAACATCTTCAACGTAATCCCATATCTTCTTGATGAACTCGACTGGCTTATTTTTTATTCCATCAACACGTTGTGAAAGGATAGCCGAGAAAGCTGGTCTCGATATGAAATTAGGTAATTCGATAGATTCGCAATGTTCAAGAACCTTGATCTCGTCCATCAAGAACTCAGTCACGGCCTGAGGTTGTGCCTGTAGATCATCTGAGAATTGGCTTAACATATTAGCCAAGCGAGCAGTGCAGTGCATCTTCTGATCATCCGAGAAGTCAAAGAAGTCTCCGACAAGGATTTTCTCGAGAGATTTATTGGCAGAACCGATGATATTCATGAAAGTCACCAAAGCTTCCCCTGAAGAAGCCATTACCTTGGGCAGTTTGTTGAGCTCGAGGATACTTGGACCCTCTACGTCGATGGAGCATCCTCTAAACAAGGCTCTGAAGTCGGAATCCAGCTCACCTCCCCAACCGGAGAAGTGATGGAACAATCTTTCCGTCTCGGATTCACCTCGTCTAACAACAAGTCTGAGTACGGAGCACTAATAGCCGGGCTTCGGCTCGCAATCGGCGTCGGTGCGAGCGAAATCAAAACTCACAGCGACTCGAGACTCGTAACCGGTCGTTACAGCAGCGAGTACGAAGCAAGAGAAGAGCGCATGGAAGCCTACTTGGCTATAGTTTGCAGCCTTGCAGAACAGTTCACTCGTTTCGAGCACGTCCATATACCCCGAGGAGAAAACACGACATCAGACGCTTTGGTAGCTCTAGCTTCCACCTCGGACCCGACAATTAAGCGAATAATCCCAGTCGAAGGTATTGAGAAACCCAGCATAGACCTAGCACTCAAAACTCCGACTGTGAACGCAATCACCACGCGGCCATCAACTCGGTCGCAAACGCAACAATCCCAAGACCCGGGACCCTTTAACACAGCCATTCACCCCGACGAGGATGAGCCGACTAACTCTACACCAGAGGATGCGGAGTCGAACCCCATTTCCTCACAAAGTACTCAGAAATCAACAATCCACACAGTACCGACTTCACTCGCAGACGAATCGACCTTCAAAGACGAGTTCGTCGCTAGAGCGGACTGGAGGATACCCATCCTCGAGTACATCATAAACAGAATAGCTGCCCCCGACAAGTGGGAAGCTCGAAAGCTCAAGGTCAAAAGTGCCCGCTACAGCGTGTAATTCAATGACAAGCTATACAAGCGAAGTCTATCCGAACCTTACCTTAAGTGCGTACACGGCGAGGAAGCCTACACCGTAATGTCCGACACTCACCAAAGCCCCTGCGGAAGTCACGCCGGAGGTCGTGTGCTCGTCATTCGAATTAAAAAACTTGGCTATTTCTGGCCGACCATGATAGCGGACTGCCAAAGACTATCCAAAAGCTACGACAAATGTCAAAGGCATGCGCCGATCATACATTGTCTAGTAGAAAGACTGTCGTCGATCTCTGCACCCTATCCATTCATGAGATGGTCAATGGACATAGTAGGACCCATGGTCCCCTTGGGACCGAAGCAATTCAGGTACCTGCTAATGTTCACCGACTATTTCACTAAGTGGATAGAAACTAAAGCTTGTCAGCAAACAACCGAGCTCCAGGTACACGGCTTCATCTGGAAAAACTTGATTTGCCATCACATACTTCCTTATGAAATCGTGACGGACAACGGTTCGCAGTTCTTTTTTCGAAACTTCAAAGACTTCTGCGCGAAGTGGAAGATAAAAATCTCCTACTCCACACCTCATTATCCCCAAGGAAACGGGCAAGCCGAAGCAACAAACAAAACCATCTTGAGTAACCTCAAGAGACGGCTCGACGCCAAGAAAGAGAGGTGGTCCGAACACATTTCGGCCATCCTCTGGACTTGTCAAACCACACCCCATAAAGCAACCAGCGAAACACCGTTCTAACTATCTTACGGGCTGGAAGCTGTGATCCCAACCGAAACTGCAGTTCCCAGCCTTCGCCGGACTCTGTGTCTGACAAACACCAAACTAAACCAGCAGCCTTTAAGGGACCAGCTCGATCTGATCGACGAACGTCGAGATCAAGCACTGATCAGGATCCAAAACTACCAGCATGCCGCAGCTCGCTACTACAACTCTAAGGTCAAACACCGGAGATTCAACGTAGGAGACTTAGTTCTGCGCAAGGTTCAAGACTACACCAAAGAGCCCGGTGCTGGGAAACTAGGAACCAACTGAGAAGGTCCGTATCGCATCACCGAGGTAGTTCGCGACGTTGACGTTGGGTCGATTCGGAATGGGAGCTGCACGTTAGCACTGAAGACTTGACTTTCTGACTTTTTCGACTTAATCAAGGAAAAACAGAAGCCCTCACACCCTGGGAATTGGTTTCGCCCGAAGCATCAGGCGTCTACAAGCTCACGAAAGTACGAAACGGGGTGCCCGAGATAAGATCTTGGAACGTAATGAACCTCCAAAGGTATTATCGCTAAAAGCACTTTAAACAATCGAACTACGTCATGGTTTGATCCCCTTACAGGTTACGTAGGCAGCTCGACCCACGAGTTCAGCCATCATTTTTTTTTTATCAAACTTTTATTCCACAAACACAGCAACATCAATAGGTGAGCTTCGCGCGACGATCCTACGTTGTATCACCCCCTTTCCCTATTTTTACTTGGAATAATACATTCATTCAATCAGCAACAATTATATTTGTCCAAACCGAGATCACGAACCAAAATAGTTCGGACCACCCTCGTCATACATCTATAAGCTGAATTACATTTAAAAACAAACTCGAGCTCCGCAGCTCGTCTTCGAGGTCAAAACATAGCTCGCCCACCCACACCTCATTCAAGCAAGCTCTAGCTCACGCATCGCTCACTCGCTCAAAGGGGTGGGGTAAAGTCCTATTTCACCGACCTCAAAGCCCAAGCACTCCCAACCTCCCACACCTCGACATAAGCGAGCTACAGCAGCACAAGGTACAGACTTCTCATTTCGCAAAACAACTAAGTTTGGAATTCTACTCCACTTCACAGGTACGGCCAGATTTACAATTCGATTTCAACCATAGCCGAAGCTCCAGACGTCGAATCGATGAGCCCAACGCAGCTTGCAGTTCGACAGGGACGACCGAGCCCTATGTTTGGAACTCAGAACAAAATCGAACCCCTTTCTCCATCTCAAAGCCGAAACTGAGAAATCCCTAGCTCAAAAGACAGCAAACTCCACCTCGAACACTGAAACTTCACCGCGAAGCAGTTCGATCCATATTCTAAAAACTAAAGAAAAGTTGAGCTAAAAAACTTAGCCATTTTTCTCAGACTAAACAGATCGCCCTTCGCGATCTAATCGTTTTATCTAGGCTCGATAAATCGAGCATCGAACTCATGACTAGCGACCTAAGCCTCGAGCTTAACAACCCTAGTCCGCTTCCCTAGGTTATTAAACGACTTAGCAAATATCCTACTCAAACGAAAAATGTGAGAGACAAAAGATAAACAAAATCTAAGGCATAAAGCCCGATTGCATTAAACAAAAGCCCTTTCAGGCACGGATGAGTTCGAAAAATAAAAAGATTAAAGCCCTCCCGGACACCAGAACAAGCGTAAAAGCCCCGCCGGGCAACCATGTTCGAAAATTAAATTTAAAAAGAGGAAGAGAAAGAGAAAGGAGCCACGGTCAGCCATCAAGCTAACCACCCGTCTTCTCGTCGTCATCTTCCCTCCTCGCTCAGCTGCTTCCACCTTCCTCCACGTTTGTACCAAACTAATTAAGGCCAACAGACGCGCCTGAAACCGGGTCGACATCCATTGCCACCGAGTCCTCCAAGATCACAGGGAGATTGAGCTTGCTGATCGAGAAATCTGAGACCTGGGCAGCCTTAAAAGCCACTCCCAAGTCCTCCTTTTCTTTGGTCACCCTCTCCAGCTCCTCCTCGACAGTAGTGGCCTTCGCTGCGAGCTGCTTGAGCATCTCTTTGTTGGCAATGCATTCCTGGAGATCGCACTCGGCCACACCTTCGGCCTTCTTCCTCTCCCACTTCAGCTTGAAGCCCTTGACCACCTCCATGAACTTCCGAGACATATCCTTCCGGATCTCACGACCCTCTTTACGGACATCACTCTCGCGCTCACGGACCAGACGGAGATTCTCCTCCTCGTAGGCTGCGGCCTCGTATTGAGCCTGCACCTCGAAGATCTGGTTGGTGGCAACCTTGAACTTCTCACCCTTGTCAGCCAGCTCGATCTCGAGGTCGGTGATGCGAGCTTGCTGGCCCTTGTACTGCTTAAGGAGTCTAGTCTGGCGAGCGACCTGCGCATTCGCGGCCTCTAGGTCGGACTTCAGCTTGCCGACTACCTCTTTCATTTCCTTGATCTCGTCCAGGTGTGAAACGTTTCGCAGCCTTTGCTCAAGT